TGGCAATAGAACCAGATATAAAACATGATACAAATAGGTCCCATGCACTTACTCCTAAAACGCAGGTTTTGTTAGCTTTGCGCTACTCACTGGTTCTCCGGTAAAGCTGATTTGTCCCACCGTAACAAAGCAAAACTAACGACTTCGAGTTATATACCCGTAGCTTCTTATACTGAGTGTAGTGTTACGAAGTATTGAACGGAACGGATATGATCTCTGCGCCGGAGATTGGTCCGCATTTCTATCGAGTATGGCATGCCAAATAAACATTTTATATAATAATTACGGATGGCGAATATATAAATTACAGATCAATAACTTACATTGTAATTCAGACGACATAAGAAGACACCATGTGACAATTTTAATTAGTCAATTGTTTTAGTGTAACAGAGTTGCTATTTTTCTTAGATCTACAAAAAAAAAACACAAAAAAACGAACTGGATGTTTTTATATCAATATTAATGCAAGTAAATAATTTTAACCCGTTTTCGATATTAAAGATCTGAAACTTTTATTATTAATATAAATTTGATACAACTAAACAATTATGCAAGTAGTCATAAAAATTGCTCTGCCTTTAGTAATGAGTTTAATAAATCATATTGCACAGGGAGAGAAGCGGGTGGGTTTTACATTTCTGCATTCTGTAATTCTTTTGATCATTTTTCTCTATTCAGTAAGAAATATGCTTATTCTGTAAATTCTTGTGTTCAGACCGTGCATATGAAAATTTCCTGTTGTATCATGATTTTGGCATGATAAGATCTTTTTGTCTGTATCAACGACATATAAATATTTTAATCTACATTTTAAATTGATACAAAAAATCAAAATTCTCTGATCTATAGATTTTCATAAATGGAGTCTAAAATATATCCATAATAAATGCACTGTATCAAATGCATATATGAGAACAACTACTTATAAACTGCTACGCGTCGCATACTATATATAGAGACATGCATCATAAATCTAAGTTAAAAGACAAATTAAAAAAAAAGGAATTCTAAAAGCTTTCTTTGACAAATTTTATACTAACTTCATTTTAACAAGTTTAAATTACATTTTCTAAAATAGAACTTAGAACTGTTTGTAATGTTGTACGGAGAGCCGCATCGGCCTATGAATTTTTCTCAGCCAGGTAGGAGGCTTGGACAAAAAGTTTAAGCCCCTGCTTCGGAGAGCCGCATCGGCCTATGAATTTTTCTCAGCCAGGTAGGAGGCTTACTAAGCGCCAATAGAATACAATGATTTTGTATTTTATAAATTAGTGTCTTCGATAATGAAAAATTCGTCATCGAACAGTCTCATTATCATGTCGGTATTCGAAATGACTTGTTTCATTGTTATTACAAAAAATAGGTCATAATAACATGACAGAGTTTTTTTTTTTTGCTTCAGAATGTTCTAGATAAATATACAAAAAGCAAAGTTTAGACAATTCACCCTCATAAGCCTGGAAGTGGCTAGTCACATATAGTTAACGGCGTTTTTCTCACAATGATGTTCTACCTCCATAAGCCTGGAAATCATCAAATGTCGTGGCGGGTCACATATAATCAATCCTTCTGACTTCATAAATTTTGTTAGAGAGTCGGCTGAATTAAGACGTTATATGATGAAAATTAATTAATTTCCTTCCGTGAAAATGCATCGCATGTACAATATAAATGAATCGCCCCTACAGTGAAAATGAAAGTCTAGTATCATTATTCGACAGTAAACATGAATCGCATAACGAAAACAGCACAGTGGAATTTAATGCAATATCAACAAGCTGAATAACAAAACCTGTTTTAAGTTATACAACATTAATAATTATGTTAAAAGGTACATTTTCTGCAAATGAAACTTAACTGCTGCTTTTAAATCTCTTGCACGCTCTGTTCGTGAACTATTCTTAATATTTATCTATTTGTGTATCAATTTTACACCTGGATGGCTGTAGGCGCGATGAAAACCCGTCCGCATCTCATACCTATATCAAGAATTTATAAAAACAGTACACATTAAATCTTATTTCTTATTCTATTCAAAAATCATGAATTTGTCGTCTGTTTATTTATCATTCTACATTAAAAATTCATAACGGATACAGTGAAAATGGTATTTCAGGATTCGCACATTATATACACTGGTTTTGTTTATTTTTATTGGATTTTCTTTTAATTCTTTTTCAACGACAACGCATGCAACTTCTTATTTCTTGTTTGAAAATTCTTCTCTTGGTCATAAATCTGCATGAAATATTTGCCACTGTACGTTCAGAAAACAGCAATCAATCAATCATATCTCCTCTAAAATTGCAGTACTATAATAACTTTAGACATTATCAAATAATTGTTAAAAAATTCGTTTAATCTTTTGATCAGATATAAACACGTCTCGTCACTCTCCTATTATTTCAAATTTTCCGATACAAAGAAAAAAGTATTATTGAATATCAAAGGAAGTAACCCATCAAAGATACAAGGCTTGTGTTTCGTCTACAAATGAAAACATACGAAAACACCCACTCACCTGATTCGCTCGTCCTCACAAATATAAAAATTCAAAATATAAAAACAATTATATACAAAATAAAGGATAAGGTCACCCCGGATGCCGCACAAATGCCAAGGCAACGAACGAGAAACCTGAAAGGACATACTTGGATTCCAAACCGATACCGCTAAATGCCCAGCTGTATTCCTGGTAGAGGAAAGCCGAAAATCCTACAATAAAGCATCTCGGAAAGAAACTACCGATCCATTAGGGGAACAACAGATAAAACCCTCAGACATCAAATAGATTGGTCTGATAGTTTCCCACATGGAAACTTCTAATGGATTCCATCTGACCACATGTATCAAACAAACATGAAAATATCTGCAGAAACTTTCCTCAACAAAAAAATATAATTCAAAACATAAAATATAAGATGTAAGGATAACAATATTTATCCATGAAACCAATTTGGCAAAACAATTTCAATGATGTTGAAGGATTCTCTCTGCAAACATTTTCACGTCCGCTCTCATCGGCATGCTCGACTCATCGATCTGTGAAAGAAGAGTGTGCCATATTCCGATATAAATAAATTACGATTCACACCTCCTGGGTTGCGTTCAATATCGTAGCGGCTACGTAGTGCTACGTAGATTTTTGTCTACTGAACGAGTAGCTAGCCTAGCTGCTATCAATATCTATGTAGCAGCTAGGCTAGCTACACGTTCAATAGTCATAAATCTACATAGCCCTATGTAGCCGCTACGATATTGAACGCAACCCTGTTTACAGCTAGAGTTCCGTTTTACGATACACTTACGATGATACACAGTGCGTAACTTGCGATCAACTTAGTAGTCCTTTACGATGCGGCCTGCCTTTGTGAAACACACGTAACGGGAACGTAGAACCACACGTAAACGGATCGTAAAATGGTACGGTGATCGTAAGTTAAGAAGGCTTTGTGAAACGGTGGCCAGAATAGCACCTAAATAAGGAAATTGTGGAAATAAAAATTACCCTATGCCACCCTACACCAGAGACATATAATACAATAGTATGTCTGCCTACACACATTCTATTTAATCAGAGGCGGATATTAGGGAGGAGGGGTTCTTATAACAGAGACATATAATACAACAGCAATTTACAGATAAGTTTTGTAGGACAGTGATACTTCCGAACTCAACAAATATGCAAAAATTAGAGCAGTTTCAAAAAACAATATTGAAGAAAATTTTGTCATTACCTCCAAATACCCCAGATCCAGCAATCTACATTATCTCAGGTTTACTTCCTATAGAAGCACAAATTTACACAAAAAGTCTAACCTTATTTAATAACATATGCAGACAAAATGATAGATCAAAAGAAAAACAACTTGCATATAGACAGCTGCTTATCAAACCAGACAATAGCAATAGTTGGTATATAGCCATCAAGAAATTATTATATAAATATGACTTTTCTGATATCATTCAATTCCTTGATAATCCACCGAAGAAACTTGAATGGAAAAATATCATACAGAAAAAAGTAGATCTGTATTGGATCCATAAAATAATTCAAAACAGTAGATCTTATCCAACGTTGACATATTTGAATTGTGATATATTTTTACCAAGAAAAAATCATCCAATTATTGATCTCAATAATTACAACAATCCGTCAAAAGGTGCGCTATCGATTGCGATTAAACTTAAATTAGTCACTGGAACTTTTATGACACAAAACAAACGTGCTAGCTTTACAAAAAGTGATTCTCCTTTATGTAAACTCTGTGACGATGAAGATGAAGATATTGAACATCTACTATTAAAATGTAAGGTTCTAGAACCTATATGAAGTCCCTTCATAAATCAAATTGAAGATAATATACTAAAAGATGCGTCCATTTCCTTTTATAAATTGTCTGCAAATACTCAGACACAATTAATTATGGACTGTACTAAACTTAGACATCAGAATTCAGATTTATTATTGGATAGAAAAACAGAACAACTATGTGAACTAATTTCCAGAAAGTTGTGCTATGCACTGCATAGTATAAGAGCTAGAACCATAAGTATGCAGAAGAAACATTCAAAATGAGTGTATACTGATTGAGTATTAACTGATTTAACAGAACTAGTGATAGCAATTAAACAAACAATTGCGGACCTGTATATAAACTGTATATATATATTTGTATGATATTCTGGATGGTGGAGGGTCGTATGTACTAATGCACTCTACTAAGAGGTTGTCCTGAAGGACGGAGAAAGATTCAGCGGTAAGGTAAGATATCGAACAATATTCCTAGTTTTAAGTCCCTTCATGTAAGTTGGTCCCATTAGGAAAAAAAATATATATTGCGCGTTATATATTGGCGACATTTTCCGCTTGCAAATCTCGGGTACTATATATGTCTCTGGTTACCGCCGATATTACTAGGATTTGTATATATGTCAGTAAATTATAGAAAAAAATATGTCAACATTTTCCTCGTTCCTTTCCCCTTCACCAATATTCCCTTTTAGTGTATTTTTTAACATGGTGTGCATTAAATCATTTGACATGATAATGTAAATTTGTCTTCGTCTCTACCAATATCTTCTGCTCAGCATGCAAGCTGAAGATAGCTCCGACATATCCGTTTCAACAAGTGAATCAGACGAGTCTGACTTCCTAACACAAACAGTGAGCGCATCAAAACGTAGCCGTAGGACTAAAAAACGCGTACTTACAGCAAGATCAAGCGAAACTGACTCTTCAAACAACAAATTGCCTTCAACAGCTGATTGGAATGTTTATTTTCTGGAATCGTTGGGCATATTTTATAATGAGGTCTACCATCCCTCACCTTTGGACATATTGAACATGATTTATGGAGACATATATATTTTTGGACCATTGACAGATGATCAAAAGTTTGATATGGAAAGATTGCAGGAATGTATGACATTTAATTCTTCTATAGCTGAAGTTATGGAAGATGAAGCAGATATTGTGCAAAATGCTGATGGAGACATATTTTTTCCAGATCTGGAGAATGATATTGAAAATTTAAGGTACTTCACTATCAATATTAACATGATACAGTATATCTATTATAAAATTATAAAATGTACATGTAGATAAAAAAAGAATCCAATTTTTTTGTTTTGTTTGTTTGTCTTGTTCATAAGGTTTTTTCCTAAAAAAATATTCTGATCCCAATTTGATGAAAAAAATATTGTGGTCAAGCAGATGATAAAAAAAAAATATTCTGAATCCAGATTTTGCTCCAAAGTTGGTCATCAGGTGCAAAAAGCGTCAATTTTGACGATTTTTCGTCTTATTTCTTGACCCCAAAGACACAGGGATGCTGATATAGGTATCATGCTGTAGTCTGCATGTACAGTGGACCCCAGTAAACACATTAACCCCAACAGTTCTTAGGTTGGAGTGAAACTGATCTGGGAACACCAGTCTAAAGAAGGTCATTTGGAGCAAAAATACGGAATTTCACGATTTTTTCCGATTTTTGACTTCAACTGGACCTGAAACAGGAAGTAGATGTTTCCTATGCGTATTTCAATAATAATTATGATCATTAGATATATGCCTGCGGGTTTACACTATTTTTGAAAGTTTTAGGCCTCTGGGTCCGTATGCATAAAGCTACTTAAGTTAAGATATCCAATCGTAATACTAATTTATTGTAAGACATGAAGAAAAATCCGTCTGTTCATGCTGTTTGGAACAAATCTTAACTTAAGTAGCTTTATGCATATGGGACCAGAACTTCCTGTGTAAGACACCGAAGGGAAGCCCACCCCTCCAGAAAAACCAGTTTTATCCGATTTCATTTTTCCAAGTTCGTATTTGAGCTTAAAATGCAACTTAAACATGAGAAACATGACAATAGATAGCCTCAGGGTGAGGGAACATGCATCAATTTCGAAATAAGTATCATAAAGTTGACCTCTAAAAGTATGGAGAGCCATTTGAGCCAAATAACGGTGGTTTGGGTAATCCCGTCATATGACGGGCACAGCATGGTAAGGGTTAAGAAAATACCTTTTCTAAAATTATCCATTTATAAATTAAGAAATCATTATAAAGCAAAGTTGACTTTAGATGGATTTGGCTATTATTTTTAGTTCCTTTTTGGTCATATAGCTCCTCAACAGTTCTTCTTCATCCTTGGCTTTCAAATATTCAGCTTTGATCCTCCTGATGAAGGTTAATTCAGAAAAGTGCTTTGGATGCTTAAAATTTACAAAGTATTTTTTCATTTTTTCTCTGTATGTAATAAATTACAAGCACTTGTCTCAGAAAAAAAATCACATCTCTATACCTGAAAGTGAGGTTAATGTACAGAGATATATTTTTTTCTGAGACAAATTTGTGCGTGGATTCGTCCGTCTGTCCGTCAGTAACAAATTGTGTCCGCTCTATATCTAGAGAACCGTTATGATTTCAAAGTTTATACTTGACATGTATATAAACCAACACCAGAGGGTGTGTCATAATGTATGTACAACTTCCTAGGTCAAAGGTCAAGGTCAAAAACTTTGGTTTTAGTTGACAACCCCATGTCCTATGGTAAAGATCGTGTCCGCTCTATATCTTGAGAACTGTTATGATTTCAAAGTTAATACTTGACATGTATATAAACCAACACCAGAGGGTGTGTCATAATTTATGTACAACTTCCTAGGTTAAAGGTCAAGGTCATAAACTTCGGTTTCAGTTGACAACCCTATGTCCAATGATAAAGATACAAAATGATATCTAGTTTTGTCTATTTTTGTATTTGTATTTTGTATTGGTCAGCTGGTTTCATTCCTGTATTGGAATTTACACCAATAAAATTATTTGATTTGATTTGATTTGATTTGATCATGTTGATTTATTATTAATTTATGTTCTAAAAAAAAATATTTTTATGAGTATTCATTGAAGAAATGAATTTATAACAAGCGATAAGGAATGTTATTTTGCACTCGATAATGTCCCTTATTTATACGATTGGTAACCAGTCAAAAACGAAAGTCAAATCTCTGTGGCAACAATACATCGGAATGACCTCATGGTCATGGCGATGTAAAAAGTAAACAATTATAGGTCAAAGTACAGCCTTCAACACGGAGCCTTGCATTGGCTCACACCGAACAGCCAGCTATAAAGGGCCCCAAAAAGACTAGTGTAAAACAATTCAAACAGGAAAACCAATAGTTTAATCTATATAAAAAACGAGAAACACTTATGAACCACACCAACAAATGACAACCACTGAAAAACAGGCAACTGACTTAGGACAGGTGCATAAAAATGCAGCGGGTTTAAACATTTTAACAGGTGCCAACCTTCACCCTAACCTGAAACAGTGGTATAACATTAAAACATAAAAAGACACACAATAAAATACCAATTGAAATGGCTTAACTCGATTAAAAAGACAATACACAAAATAACAAGTAAATATACACTGAACGAATAAGTTTGATCTATGACACAATATAAATAAAAAACATGTTTCAATGTCAAAAAGACAACTTTAACCTATGACAAAATGGTGTAAAATAAAGTAACGTACACAGGTAAATTTAAATATAATAATTTTGTTGTAAGTACAGAAACATTTTTTACAAAATAAATTTATGTCAATATAATGGTACAATGTTCTACATTATACTTATTGATTTAATAATGTCAATTTTTAGCAAATGGCATTTTACTGAATTTACTTTTATTTTGTGGCGGTATATCCTGTTCAAAGACTATATTTTCATCCACACTGTGATGTTTTATTAAAATAAATTTGTTTGTACATGTAGATCTATCATGTCTATAGATTCATCATTTGAATCTAAAATCCTGTAAATTCAGAAATTATTGATTGCATTTATTATTGTGATTTTTGGAGAATGGACAAAAATGCGAGATTGATTATTGCGATTTTAGCTAAATCTGCATACAGATATATTTATCAGTTATCAGAAATTTTTCAGAATGCAAGTTCTTATAATTATGATACTCATCCAGTCGCATTATTCACAATAATAAAAACCTCCCAATAATTTCTGAATTTACAGTAAGCGATACTTTGAAATATATTTGAGTTGAGGCCAAATTTGGTCCTTGTTTATTTTTTAACTTCATTATAAATATGTTTGTATGAAAATTTAAATTTTTCTAGGTAAGTTTTAAAATTTTACAAAGTGATTCAAATATTTTGTTTATTTTGCAGCAGTCCTTCTTTACAAAGAGCTGAGGACTTCCTTGTTAATGTACAGCTGATGATTTCTTGCCATGTTGCATTTCTTAACGGTTTGACAGAGAATGAAGTTCCTGAAGATATGTTTGTTAATATTTTGGAAGCATTTTCAAACATGTGTCATATTTTGCCTGTGTAAGTAATAAATAGAGACCTAAATTACACTTAAAGCCAAAACAATATATACTTGTTACCTGCCAACTGACAGACTATATAGAGAAATGTTTTGGTCTTTAACAGTGCTTAACAAAAAAAGTCTGGACTTCTAACATGTTTAATGGTGCGTAATCAAAAATGTCATTAAAAAGTGTTTAGGTAGGCATGAAAATTCTGGGTAGGTATGGAGGCAGGAAACAGAACTTAGTTTATCTTTTTTGTTACCTTGAATTGGTAAAAAGCTTGGGTATTTTTCTATTTTCACATTCGTGTACAATTTATTTAATCCTTGTGTAGTAAACATACATGTATACCTACAATGTATATATAATATTGTTTTGAACTAGGCTTATCTATACTATTAAATGAGAAGACCTCATTTTGTGTTTCGCTTCTCTTCCTTCCACAATAAATTAATCATCATGCCTTTGTGTCCTATAGGTACCATGCATAGTCGCATTTGTCATCCTTGTTTATGATTATTCCCTTTGGGTTATTTTAGGAGGAAAACGAAAATAAAGGCGTCTGGATATTGTTTCCTTCATCGGACGGACTTTTAAGTCATAGACAAGACTTCCGTTTAGAACTGTTTAAAATTACACATAATTTTCATAGGTACTTGGGGACAGAACAATTATTTTCGCTTTTTCTGTATACTATGAACATACATATACTATAAATAAAGTGTATTTGCTATTTACTATCAATTCCAAGTTTACTATCAACATCATATATTATTTAAATATTTAGAGATTATAGTATATGTATGTTCATAGTATACAGAAAAACTCGAAAATAATTGAAATAGGACTGTTAAAAATTACACATAATTTTCATAGGTACAACAAATGTACTTGGGGACAGAACAATTATTTTCGCCTTTTCTGTATACTATGAACATACATACATGTATACTATACATAAAGTGTATTTGCTATTTACTATCAATTCCAAGTTTACTATCAACGGCGGTCATATATTATATAGAGATTATAGTATACATGTATGTATGTTCATAGTATACAGAAAAACGCGAAAATAATTGAAATTGATAGAAAACAAAAAAATAACGGATTTTGAAAAAAAATGAGGGCTAAAAAAATTTTCCTGTCCCTAAGTACCTATGACTTTTGATACCTTTCCTGTAATTCTCCAGTCATAAAATCTTTTACAAAAACGTATCCTACAACAGTTTACATTATTCAACCACGCTCTAAATGCCCACGATTTCGCGGGTGTGTTCTAGTAACATAATAAATGGTGTTATAAATTTAGACTTCACTCAAATTTTGTTACAATTCATTTAATTTTTAAATTAAATTGATTTTGAGGTCACTTTATAAAAGGTCAATGTAATTTCAGTTACTAATAGACACATTTTTGGTTCCCAGATGATCTCTTTAAAATCAATATTTTCTCCTGGAGAGAGAAGATCCTGATAAATTTTAGTGTTTAAGATCAAGGTCACAGCAACCATGAACATTTATAAGCAGACTGTGTTAAAATCTTCAATAGCCTGGTAGACTTTTTCTGCGTGTACTTTTTAATGAAAAATGCGGTTATTAAAAAAACCTTTAAAAAAAAATTAAAAATATTTTATAAAATCTTGTATTATTTCAGTTAGTACCAAAATGTGTCTCAAAAGTGCAGAGGCACAGATCTATTTGGAAACCTTTAGAAATGTTTCAAAATTATTTCCTTTTTAACCATATTTGGTTTATAGATCAGAAAAATAATATCAGGTTTTCACAACCTTTTTTGGAGAAATGATCAAATTGCTGTTTATAAGTTATAGTTGGAATTTGAATATGGGTTTTATTTGTTTTTTTATAGTCCAGGATCAGCTTTTAAAAGTAAAAAGATAATTCAAAATGTTCCTGTGACTTCATCTCCACATGTGGTTCTAATTCCATGGAAGAATCGTCTTATTTCATTTGCAGAAGAAGCAGCATGTATAGTGTCAGTTGCACAGGTAAACACTGATACTGCTTTTAAATAAACTATTGATTATTTTAATGCCAAATTCGTACACATTACATACGTGTAGTACACATATATCTACTGTAAATTCAGAAGTTATTGCATGCATTTACTATTGCTATTTTTTGATTATTGCTATTTCAGGGAAATCTGCATACAGATGTACATGTATATATCACATATCAAAATGCAAGTTTTTATTATTGCGATAACCCAGTCGCATTATTTGCAGTAATAAAAACCTCACAATAACTTCTGAATTTACAGTATTCAGTTTAATTCCATCTTGGTGATATATTTTGACGTGAATGCTGGTAATTGTTAATATTTTTGTAGGGACTTTTATATATATATATTCAATACTGTGGATTCTTTATTATTGAAAATTTATTTTCATGGATATTTGATTTTGTTGTTTTGCAAAAGTCTGCAAACAAGCATACAGACAATTTGTCCTTTGTCGAACATTTAAATTTATGGTTTATTTTAACTCATTGCTATCCTTACTACTTCTGAGCTAAATCAGAATGTTACAATATGTACTTATGCACCTACTATGTCATTTATTAATCTCAATGATTTTCAGGGTATACTTGAGGGGGTCCCTGATTCCCACTTCCCTACCCTAACTCCCACTTCCCTCCCCTAACTTTTAATTCCCTCCCCTTACTCCTACTTCCCTCCCCCTTACTCCCAGACAAAAATCGGTTAGACTTTTTTTTTTCAGTATATCACTATTTTTACACCCCCTCTTCCCCAGTTCCCTTACCCCTGTCCATCCCCTCATACATTTTTGTAGTCTTTTTGTAATTTAAAGTTACAGTACTAGTACTATTCACTTATCTTTCTAAATCCAGAATCAGAATGCATGACTTCCTCAGAATCTTTTTATATGAAATATTAAAATTGTGTATTTTGTTTATTGATATGAAGTAACGAACTTTGAAAGGGAGGGGATAAGGGTTTGTTTCAGTACTTCTAGTTTTTAACTGAATACCTTGCAACTGTTCTTCCCAGTAATTTATATAGCAACATGTGATTTGAAAATAGAAAATATTACTGTTTCGTTTAAATTATAGCACCACATTCATTATACCTTCTATTTTAAAAAGTATATTCAGAAGTTAGGTCTGATTTGCACTAAACCAACCCCCCCCCCCCCCCCCCCCCCCCCCCCCCCTCCAATCATGTTATTAGAAAAAAGACTAACATTAAGTCACTCACTGTTGAAAAGGGGGATAACTGATGATTTAATTTGATAACAGTCTGATATTTTACATTTCTAATAATATCTTTTTAATAAACAGAGATTTTTCAGAGTAAATCACCCATAATCATCAGAAAAACTCTTCTATGTACAGTATTTTTGAGAGTAAGTTTTACTTGCTGTGAAAGATATCCAGATGATAGTTTCTGCATGCAATTTTTGGGGAATTACTCAGAAAACAGTTGGTTATAAAAATAGCCTGTTAATTCCTATGTAGTTTTTGTTAGACATAGAGAGATGGGCTTAAGTATCCACTGACATTATTAGTTACACAGTGTGCTAGTGACCTAATACTATATATATGGGGTCAGTAAACCCCACATATATTATATCATATTAGGTCACTAGCACACTGTGTAACGAATTTATCTTGCAGACTATCTTAACATGGGTCATTTAGACTAGTGGCCTATCAAAATAATCAAGTCTTCATTATTAAAAACCTACTTCCATTGGTCTATACAAAAACAAATGCCAACAATAACCACTTGTTAGCTTTAATGTGTTTTCTGCATTTATTTTCTTTATCTGTTGTTTGGGCGAAATGTTTCAGATTTTTCTTCAACGTCATGTACATGTTGTTTTTACAAAGGGACTTAACACTGCTACTAACCCAATATGAAAATAAGATATGCCCACTTAGTCCCACTTACCCCGTATTAAATATACAGGGTCTCCACATGTCTGCTTTAAACCAATGATATCCCTAGAAATGTATAATTAAAGATTATCTTTGGTCATTTCAACGAGATTGATTTTCTCGCTTGAGCCGGTACGGCGAAAGTGAGAAAAGCAATCGAGTTGAGATGACCAATGATAATCTGTTTATCGATATTTTACCTATGATGACGTTGTTAATTTCATTGACAATATGCCATGTGCGCCCTTAGTTTCTAGCGATAATTTTTCATATCACTCTACTGTGCTGAGAAAGGAAATTATCAGTCAGTAAGATCAAAGGACAATTTCGTAAAATAGCGATAATAGGTTATAAGAACTAATGTTATACCAGGACCATTTTTCTAAAAGTCTTAAACCTTCACAGTACCACAGTTTCATCTGTATACTTTGAGGTTTCTACCATCAATAGTATGTTGCATTTATCATGTTTATTAACATGTTACCAAATTATAAATACCCAAAGGTTACTCAAAATTGCTACATTGAATAATTTTAACACATTTTGAGTATTTGTCAATAAATGACAAAGAAAGACGTATTAAACCAAATCCAGAATTTTGTCATGCCCGAAAGTAAAGCTATGCATATGCATTTTCTTTTACAGGTGCAAAAAGAGAAGCAGGCAAAGAAAAGTCAAGCGAAATGGAAGAACACAGAACCAACAAAATTTTCTCAAGATTTAAAACATTCAAGTGACTGTGGATCTAAAGTTAGTCAAGTACCTCTTATATTTGAAAAAGTTCATGGAAATATCCTCGGACAACATGGTGGTGAACTGCTGATTAATGAACATAGTTATGGCAGTATTTTAAGCAAAGGGAGAATATTGAAGTACCTTCCAGGGATAATATGCATTGGAACAGAGGTATGGCTAGTTTATGCTATTTTTGTAAATTTTGTTTTGATCTTTTAATGTGATAATTTTCCATCTCGAGCTACTAGAGTGATATGGGTTTTTGATTAGAAAAAGAATGTTTGGCTATACACCATGTCATTGACATTGCCTAGAAAAATAGCGATAAACAGATTATCAATGATATTTCAAGCTAGTGTAAGTTTCTAGGCCACATCTCATCCCAGGGCTGTTGCACCTCAACAAGATTGTAGATGAGAAACTCCCTCTCATTTTAAAAACCATCAACAATATGTAAATTATAACCAGTCAAAATATCCTAATTACGGTATGACTCAGCACGTCAATCTAGTTTTAACTGCAGAACATGTTGACATCTCATTAACAGGTTAATCTCCTAAATGTGTTATATTTTTGCTGCTAAACATTGAATAAAGCCAATCAATCAAAATGCATACAGGTGTTTGCTGCTTGATTTTCTTGGGGTATTGTTTAGTACATTAAAATGATTACAAATTAATTTGTATCTCTAATTTTTCACTTATATTTAAAATTAAAAAAAAAATGTACTAAGAAACAAACTTTGAATAATGTTACAGTTCATTGAAACCTTTTACTGCCACCAGTTACATAAAAAAAATTACTCTAAGCTGTTTCACTACAATTACCCTTAACTGATTCAACTGAAGGTGTTTAAATGTTGTTTTCTCATTTTGGTATTTAAAAAATGAAATTATTGTTTTTTTGATATTCTGATAAAAGAGAAGTTTAATTATTTTTAATATGGTTTGTAGATGATTAAATTACCATCATACTTCCATACAACATGCACAAAATTATGTAAATGTAGTGTGGTTATGTGTTACTAAAATAAGCTATTGAATTCTTTGTGACAAACTTTGTAATAAACTGATGTCTATTTTTAGGTTATATTTACCCTGTTGAAAATAAACAGCAATCATTTGAGGGAATTAAAGACAAAGTCCAAAACTGTCCGACAAGATACAAAAGCTACAATATATTATTCAGAACCCAAAGATTTGTTACGGAAAGTGGACAGAGACATCTTGATAGAATCATTTATACGCTTAAATAATATTTGTAAAATAGACAAATTAGCAGTCTAAGAAGTTGACATATGATTAATGTCTAGATATTTTAGTGAGCTGTTTATGAAGATGTATATATTCATTATTTACTCTTATTCCCGGCAAAGATTATATATATACACATACTTTGTTGCAAGTGATTCCAGGATTGACCTTTTAGTTAGTTATTGACTGTGCTGAAAAAAAAACCTACACATTGTGCAATGTTCATAATGTTTTTACACAATACTTGTACAGTCTGTAAACACAGTAACACAATGACCTGTATGACATACAAAAGAAACTTCAGTGTTCCAGCTTGGTCGTTTTCACAGGGCGGTCCGCCCGCCCTTTCCCGACTGCCGCCCTGTGCCTTTTTTCTGACATCCTGTGCCCTTTTTAAGACGCCCTGCCCTTTTTAGCAAGTACATGGCTTTATTGTCATAATATTTTGATGAAAATACTATAATTCTCCCTGTCTTCATGTTTCTGACAAGTTTATGACCCTTAGCTGATTAACATTTAAGCAGGTGTTATAATTAGATATAAGAAGATGTGGTATGAGTGCCAATGAGACAACTCTCCATCCAAGTCAAAATTTATAAAAGTAAACCATTATAGGTCACAGTACGTTCTTCAACACGGAGCCTTGGCTCAAACCGAACAGTAAGCTATAAAGGGCCCCAAAAATTACTAGTGTAAAACCATTCAAACGGGAAAACCAACGGTCTGATCTAAGTATAAGTATAAGTTTTAATTTCAGGTAATCCGCTTATCTCAATCGGATGGGTCACTAATCCATTAATTAAACCTCATAATTGACCATTATAATTATTTTTCCCAGTAAAAATCAGTCAGTCCGCATTTCAATTTCAATATTTCTTAAAAGACCACAATTTGCAGTTCGTTTATTCACAGATGTTTTTGTAGTTTCGTCAATTGAACAAAATTGTTTTTCCCCGGACAGTTCGCATTTTAATTTCAAAATTTCTCAAATGATCACTTATTGCAGCTCGGATGACATAGTTTCGTCATTTGAACGTATTTTCGTCACATTTTATATATCTTTATATAATCGAAAGTAAACACCTGATCTACTCTTGATAAATTTAAAATAGACAGTCATTTTAATTCGTTCAAGTTTATAAAAATGAATTCTAAATATTGATTGAAACGTTTTTACAGGGATAGTGATAATGCAGTGAAATATTCGTAACAATTTCATTATGCTGTGATTCCTGGTTTAAAAAAAATGAACCCAACTTTTGTTGATCAGGATGTCCTCTAAAAATAACTGAAATTGTGAACTAAATTTGCGGATCATTGTTCTAATCTTCTATTTAAGCATCACACCAGTCAAATCATGCCATAACTGCCTATATTTGTAGCATGCCTAAGGTCTTCAAAGATCCTGGTCATTGAAGGACTTGGGCATATGTATAGCTAGTAATATATGTCCTTGGTCACTTACTGTTACCCAAAATAAGGTTGCATGATTTTCATCTCGCGTAAAAGTGACTAAAGCCCTCAAAACTCCTAGCTGAAAACCCTGCTGCTATTCACCTAAGACAATGTTTGACATGCCCTTTTTGAATTATCAATCAGCGTGCTAAAGAGCCCTTTTCATGATTGGCTCCCTGCCCTTTTGAAATCCTAGCTGGAACACTGAACTTGATTTTAAGTGTTGTCCAATATACCATTCAATAGTTATACCCCTTGAAATCAAGGAAAGACAGACAACACCATGACCAACAGAAAAACAACAGACAAACAACAAAAGATAAAGCAACATATTTATGCTCATTGAAATCTAGGAAAAAACAACAATATTCTGGCTAATAGAAAAAAGATAAACAGGCAAACAACAGTCCACAAAAAATTATGCAAAGGTCTACTAACCAACATGGCCGACATGGCTAAAATTAGAACATAGGGGTATAATGCCATGTTTATGAGCACTCAATCCTCCCCTAACCTAGGACAGTGGTTTAACAGCACAACATAAGAACACACTGTAAAAATCTGTTGAAATTTTTTCAGCTCAAAAGATCGCTACAAGGCAATAAAACAACAAATATAAAAACCATAGACACAAAGCACTGAAATAAGAGTCTGAGTACTCACAAGTAAGATTCAAATGAAAATTTCTCTAAATTTTCATAAACATGATAAAATAAGCTTTTAAGCTCACCTGGCCAAACGGCCAAGTGAACTTTTCTTATCACATGGTGTTCGTTGTTAACTTTTACAAAAATCTTCTCATCTGAAGCTTAATTTAACCAAACATGGCCATAATCATCATGGGTTTCTAGTTTAAAAAAATGTGTCTGATGACTCTGCCTGCCACCCAAGATGGCAGACATGGCTTAAAATAGAACATAGGGGTTAAATGCAAGTTTTGTCTATTATCTTGAAAACTGCTATGAATAGAGAAAATCTGACAGGGGCAGAAATGTTCAAAATGTTGAGATCTATCTGCTGTATTTATTGGAGTTTCCTGATACTCCTTTTTAGCTCACCTGAGCTAAAAGGCGATGTGAGCTTTTGCTTTCACTTGGTGTCTGTCATCATATTCTGTCCATCTGCTGAAGATAAACTTTAAAAAAACTTTTCCTCTGAAACTACTGGGCCAAATAATACTAATATTTACCTAATTGTTCCATAGGGACAATATATCCAGGGATATGATCAATCAACTGACATGGCCGCTGATGCTAACTGTAGAACATAGGGGGTAAAATGCAGTTTTTGGCTTATATCTCAAAAACTAAAGCAGTTACAGTTAAACTGACATAGGTATAAGTGATCAGTAGGCCGAGGTATTGTTGAATTTTTGAAAAATAAGGGATCCTATTTTGGAGTATTTGCCCCTGAAATGTAAGTTTTTGTTATTATTTTGAATACTATAACCAACAGATTCTTAACCATAAAATTTACCAGAACAATAAGAATGATCTACAAATAAGCCAAAATGGCAGAAATTGTAAATTGACCCTTTATAGGAGTAATTGCCTTTTGAGTGATGATTTGTACCCATTTTTTGTGTGTTCTGTAGAAATTATAGTAGATAGAGAGAATGGTAAAAAAATTCAGGAAATTAGATCTACCCAATTTTGCAGAAATCTTAATAGATAGAGAGAAACCCCAATAGCAAAAATGTTAAGCAAAATAAGATCTTCAAATTGGTCAACATGGCCGAAATTGTCAATTGATCCCATATAGGGAGTTATTGCCATTGAAGATGGTTTTTACCTATTTTTGCATTTTTTTACATAAACCATAATAGATAAGAGAAATTGTAACTAGCAAAGGTGTTAAGGACAATAAAATTCAGGGGTTCTTTCACCAAAAAATTTAGGATAAAAAATTATAAGTTCAACTGAAATGTTAATGACTTGCAAGTATTTTTTGTCGTAAGATTTTTTGCGAAATGATTCGTAGGCTCTTTGGAGCCTCTTGTTATGGAGTATCATCACTGGGAACTGTATAAGAGCAGGAAATACTTAAAAAAAGGGGAATTTTGATTGGTCATAACCCAACCATTTATTTTCAAATCATAAATTTATGAAGTCATACCCTCCGGTGGCTGTCCAAATTTCTTGCCCTTCATCCTGGTCAACTGTACCACCTTGAGAAGCTTCCTGTTGTATTAGTTGTTAAGTTGTTATCATCCTGAATATGAATGGGGAGGAATCAAGGTCACAATTATTGACTTTAGCATATGATTAATTCGTTTTAGCATTTGCTAAATTATATTTTAGCATATATGCTAAATTCAATTAAGCATCGTATTTGGGATGTAGATCACATTGAAATTTTATCTTGAAAAACTATTATAGATTGAGAGAAACTTTAATAGCAGAATAATCAGCAAGATAGGATGTGCAAATAAGTAAACACGGACATAAAACGTTAGTCAACTACAAATAGGAGTTATTGTCCTTGAATGGCGATTTTTACATTTTTTTGCGTTTTTGCCTTCTGATCTTGAAAACTATAATTGATAGAGAGAAACTTTAATAACAAAACCTATCAGCAAGACAAGATCGAAAAATAGGGAAGAAAGGCGGAAAAATGACCAGCAAGATAGGATCTACAAATAAATAAACACGGACAATAACGTTGGTCGACTCCTTTATTTATGAGTTATTGCCCTAAATGACAATTTTTGAAAAGCATAAGTAAACATGGACATACACTGTTTTGCCTTTTTATCTTGAAAACTATAATTGATAGAGAAACTTTAATAGCAAAATTTATCAACAAGACCAGATCTAAAAATAAGAAAATAAGGCGGAAAATTGATCAGCAAGGAAAATCATAGATATAATAGCCATGCATATCTATGGCTATTATATCTATGGGAAAATGAACAAGACACCGTATTCGAATAAGATACATAGCCAAATTTCTCAGTTGACTCCTTATAGGAATTATTGTCTTAAATGATGGGGATTTTACCCTAATTTAGCGAGTAAAGAGCAAAAACTGATCAGCAATACAAGATCAACATATATACATGAATAGTATTCTAGTCTATAATGTTGGATAGTGGCAATTGTTGAAGATGCACATAGATCAATGTGAGCACACCAGGTTTTTCAGACCTTCTAGTTTTGCTAGTGAAAGGTTATTTGTTAGCAGAAAGTGTATATTGTTCTGCAAAGAAAAAATAATTTTGTTTTGTTTTGAGGAGTGAATATTTTGTAAAAAATAAATAAATGAAAAGATGATATACATGTATGAAAGTGATATGATCTAAGTTGTAATTAGCATTACAATTACATATAACTGATTTAGCTGTAAAATTATCTCCCTTTGATTTATGTTTTTCAGATATAACTATAGAACAAATATTCACATGACACTTGAAGAACACAAAATCATTTTATAGGAAAACAAAGCAACAACTTAATGCTCAAAAACAATGTTCAGAAATGATGGAAAGAAACAAAAAATCCAAGACACATTAATTCATTAAAAAACAAATTCAAAAACCTAAATCGCTACATGCAGTTAATGAATTCTCAGGAAAAGGAGAAGCGGAGCAGCATATCTTCCCTGTTCTTGATCTACGTATTACATTTAAGTTATCAACTTGAAACAAATGCTAACACCTTACTGTGAGTTCATATACAGATAGAGGTAGGGATAAAATCTGATTTTTTGACAATTGTTATTATGCATATGATAGAAAATTGTTTTCTATTGTCATTCCTATTTGTAAGGTTTCTGAGCGAATTAAGAAAGCAAAGTTTCTAAATTCTGATAATTAAAAAAAAGTTGTCGGCATTTTTTTCCAGCTTCTAGTTTTTTTGTTAGTTTTCTGTTTTCCAATCATCCCATATCTTGCATGCATATACGTGTTTTTGTAAAAGTTGAATAAATATTCAAAATTCAAATATTTTGGTATATCATTTGGCAAATAATCAGAAAAAGTTCTCATATATTTTAATCATTCGACATTTTCTGTTGGTTTTCAGGGTTTGTGAATAGAAATCCAACTATTCAACTAATTAATGAAAAAAGCTGTTTAAGCTAGTTTTTGTCGAGCCTGCGACTTTTGTCGCAGAAAGCTCGACATAGGGATAGTGATCCGGCGGCGGCGGTGTCGGCGTTAGCTAACTTCTTAAAAGCTTTATATTTTAGAGGGTGGAAGAACTGGATGCTTCATACTTTGTATATGGATGCCTCATGTTACGAAGTTTCGGTCAGTCACATGTCCAATGTCCTTGACCTCATTTTCATGGTTCAGTGACTACTTGAAAAAAAGTTAAGATTTTTTGTAATGTTAAATTCACTCTTATTATAAGTAATACGATAACTATATTTGGTATGTGCGTACCTTGCAAGGTCCTCATGCCCGTCAGACAGTTTTCACTTGACCTCGACCTCATTTCATGGATCAGTAAACAAGGTTAAGTTTTGGTGGTCAAGTCCATATCTCAGATACTATAAGCAATAGGTCTAGTATATTCGGTGTATGGAAGGACTGTAAGGTGTACATGTCTAGCTGGCAGGTGTCATCTGACCTTGACCTCATTTTCATGGTTCAGTGGTCAAAGTTAAGTTTTTGTGTTTTGGTCTTTTTCTTATACTGTATGCAATAGCTCTACTATATTTGGTGTATGGAATGATTGTAAGGTGTACATGTCTAGCTGGCAGGTGTCATCTGACCTTGACCTCATTTTCATGGTTCACTGGTCAAAGTTAAGTTTTTGAGTTTTGGTCTTTTTTTGTAATACTGTATGCAATAGGTCTACTATATTTGGTGTATGGAATGATTGTAAGGTGTACATGTCTAGCTGGCAGGTGTCATCTGACCTTGACCTCTTTTTCATGGTTCAGTGGTCAAAGTTAAGTTTTTGAGTTATGGTCTTTTTTCTTATACTATATGCAATAGTTCAACTATATTTGGTGTATGGAAATAATTTATGATCTATATGTCAGTCACGCAGGTTTTATTTGACCTTGACCTCATTTTCAAGGTTCATTGCTCAATGTTAAGTTTTTGTGTTTTTGTCTGTTTTTCTTAAACTATGAGCAATAGGTCAACTATATTTGTTGTATGGAAGAATTGTTATCTGTACATGCCTGCCTAGCATGGTTCATCTGACCTTGACCTCATTTTCATGGTTCATTGGTCAATGTTTAGTTTACTTGATTAATGTTAAGTTTATGTGACAGTTGTAATAAAGCTTTATATTTAGGTCTATCAACACATAATATCAATGATTAGTAAAGAAGGCGAGACATTTCAGCGTGTGCACTCTTGTTATACAACAACTAAACATTGAGATTTCTAAAAGTTTTTTGTCAGATGACGCCTTAATGTTTCCGTAGATAAGTATATAAACCACTGACATCAGTGTACCTGCACAATAGTATTTCTCAGGTAAACTCCACATTAATCATGTTAATTGTGAAACATAATATTATAATGAAATATACAGAAAAGAAACTGGAAATAGGTTACAACATTCCGTTAATGCAGTATGGAATCCTATACAATATTGTGTTTAAAATATGCCAGGTTATTTTTATTTTTCATGCCCTGTCGTTCATTATCGAGATTATTTTATTAGTTGTCTCCCCCTTTGAACATTCCAGTGTGGACTGTCGAACAACAATACAATCAGTACAAGCCGTCCCAAATCGCATTTGGTGAGATATGAAAATACGTTAATGCGACTGCAATCAAACGACACAAACAAAAAACATAAAGAGTATCTATTTTTGAAACACGTCCTTTAAAAGTATACACATAAATTTGACATAAAAACATTTAAAATAACAAAATCATTGCCAATACGAGAGAAAAAAAAATACCCAAAATATTCAAACACACTTGTAAATTGTTTTTACGTCATGATTTGATAGACAATATCAACTGCTGTTCATGTGAAAAATCCCCCTATTTTTTTTTAAGTAATGCACATTAATACCGAGGGGTTGAAGGCAAACAATACAACAATATACACAATGCAAACAAGTCATGTCTTCTTTGACTGTCCATGGCGTTAAAACACTAAATCCCTGGGATGTGTTTTAGTTCATTTTAGTCTCTGATGCATGATTTTTTATTATTAATTGTTTTTGGCTTTTTACTAACTTTCAGAAACTGTACGTTATTTTATTCAACGCCATTTTGTCTAAGGTTATAGTGGTCTTTTTAACTTTGTTTTACATCTCCCCTTTTTTATTAATAGTGTATTTATATTGTGTCATAGATCACATTTATTCGTTCAGTGTATGTTTACTTGTTTTTGTTAATATGTCTTTTTGATTGAGTTAATCCATTTCAATTGATATTTTATAGCGTGTCTCCGTGTTGAAGCCGTGCTTTGACCTATAATTGTTTACTTTTTACACATTGTGATTTGGATGGGGAGTTGTCTCATTGGCACTCATACCACATCTTCTTATTTCTATTATATGAGCACTTTTATTGCTATTTATAATGATCATTTCTCACTAGAATGACTTCCACAACGATTCAAAGACCGTCGCGTCTTGAAAAAAAATTTATCTCAGATATCCGCTTAAGTCGGTATGCATATTGCAAAACCGGTGTTCGTATATTTTGATGTGGTACGATTTTTTTTGATTTTTTTGGGGGTAGTTACGCTAGGTTTGTAGATATATTTTACATCTGATTTATAGAGATTTGAAGATAATTTATTACTTCTGAATTATAAATATCTGCTACTTTTAATTTGCTGTCCTATAATCATGTGTCCATGTTTCTCATACACGGATCTGACGACCTGTTTTACTTTCTGTTAACTTTGTGTTTTTAAAGACATCTCGGAATCTTATAGCTTGATGTTACCCACCTTTAAAAAATTGGAGACAGAACTATCATTTACTGATGTACAAAAACACAAAATGTATTAGTTACCAGAACAAAAAGTAGAACGGAGTATTGTCAGATACTTGTAAGCCGTGTGTGGACATTGGATCTGTATTTTTATCAGATTGTACTATTAAAGGTTTTTTTCACAAAATCCGCATCAGCCCTACTACTAGTAACTGATGTCAGAAGTATTATATTCACATTAAAAAACGTCCATGCTGATATCAAGGATTATATGATTCTAAAGGAAATATTGGTACCGATTTGGAAAATTTGAACATGTTATACTTTGATATTTAAACACGTTATTTTAGGTTGTATCCATTACTGCACATCTTAAACAAATGTCTAATATCTAATAATACTAGAACATCTATGACACTGAAGGTAAAACCTTTGTATGATATTAGTAAGTTAAAGGAAAGTTAGATTCTTATGATATAATTCAGAATAAACTTTTATAATACATGTTTAAGTGACTACAATCTTATTGACTTGATAAATTTAGAGCATACCATTTTTTTTTTAAATACATTGCAAATCAACAACCAGACTTCATTTTTTTTTAATTTTAGTTCATTTATATGTTTTGGAGTTCAGTTTGACGTCAATTTTCACTGAACTAGTACACATTTTTGTTTAGGGGCCAGCTGAAGCCCGCATCCGGGTGCGGGATTTTCTCGCTGTGTTGAAGACCCATTGGTGGCCTTCGACTGTTTTCTGCTCTTTGGTCGGGTTGTTGTCTTTTTGACACATTCCCTATTTCCATTCTCAATTTTATTCATTACAAATATTTCATCACATACACAAAGTTCGATTTTATATTGTTTATCCAGAATGGCAGGCCGTTTCAAGATAGACCATATTGACCACATTGTAATCACAGTCAAAGATTCTATCAAAACATGTGAATTTTACTCAGAAGTGCTTGGAATGGAAGTAAACACTTTCAAGGTATTTCAATTAATAGCAGAAATTAATATACTACATACTAGTAGTATCCATACAAACACGCCTATACTGCAACCATGCTTTTTGTGCAGTCAAAATGCATTGACCCTATACACTTTGGCTTTAAAGTCGCTGACCGTTGAACGCCCGGTATGTGACGTTAGTTATGTGTTTCGGTAGAGTTTTATCTATATCATAGTCCAAAAAAAATGCAGGTCCGCTAAATTGTAACGCCGCTCGCTTCAAAATATTTCATTTTAAACATTTTTGAGAGTTACAGTATAAAGAGAACAACCATATATTGCCTCAAATCATAATTTTATTTCTACTCGGCTCGAAACAGGATAGAAACGCTCGACAAAGCCTCGCATTTTACCTGTTTCTAAACCTTGTATACCTTAATTTTATATTTTGAGACTATGTTTGTATTATTTTTCTTTCATATATACAAAAGATTGAAAGTAAGTATAGGCACTCGAAAAGCAAAATATAAAGCCATAATTGGAAAATGTAAGTATAGGAGAGAGGCGAAAGATACCAAAGGGACATTCAAACTCATAAGTCGAAAATAAACTTACAACGCATTGCCAAAAAAAAAAGAACAAGACTAACAGACAAACAACAGTACACAAAACACAACGTAGAAAACTAAAGACTGAGACAAGAACCCCACTACAAACTTGGGGTGATCGTAGGTACTCCGAAAGGGTAAGCAGATCCTGCTCAACATGTGGCTCCCGTCGTGTTGCTCATGTAAGTACACATCAGGTGATAAGTCTATTCGGTAGGTCTTATTTGGGGAAAGGGGACGGGACTGTAGAACATATCTGTTGTCATCTGTGAAAGGGATATTCCATAACGGTCAACCAACTCGTGATGGCCTCCTTAAAATTTACGAAGGGATGATTTCAACTTCACCACTTGGAACTCTTGGTTTAATAGCTTTCTTGAGAGCAGCAAACCTCTATCCAGGAAATCGTGATAGGAAATACAAGTCCTGGAATATCGTATCAACTGGGAGATATATACTATATATGCAGGCGCTGTTGGAATTTTACATGCTACATCAAAATCAAATAGCTATCTGAACAGTTCAGCACTGGAGAATTGGAGACATCAACTGAAGTTATACTGGCCAACTTTACAAATTTTCAATAATGAATGAAAAAAATTAGCAGGAATAACCATGGATATTTTAGTACAACAGACCACCGCAAACACCAAAACCCACGTCCTCCGCAAATACCACAGTAGAGAGGACAAAAAGGCTTATTATAGCTTGTGCAAATAACCCAGCAATGGGGAAATATGAAATATACATCTTATAAACGTAAAAACAACCTGCTATCAATCGTTCAAAATCAAGGAAACTTGTATAATGTGTAACTTTTCTAGAAGATTTTTCAATAATATGAATTTGATTTGGAATGTTACAGCGTATTCACCGCGAAAAACGTCACGTGCAAACTGAAGAAAAGGCTAGAATTAATATTCCTCGCGCTTGACGTTATGTGCAACCAAAAGAAACGATAAACAATTGATTTTACGTTATCTTTACTGGCATGTTAAACTATGGCAGACATTTTCGATGTACATTTGGTTTTGGTATATAGTTGTATTTTACTGGATTTTTTTTAAATCGACGTTGAGTTGTTATTAGGACGGAGTGGAAGTAACCTTTTCATAATATAATGATTTCTATAATGATTCTACTTTTGGTGAAGGCCATACTTTACACTTAACTATGAAATAATACTTCTTTTGTTTCATGTGTTGTATTTTTAGTCTTTTTGTTGTGAATATTTTTTACGTCTAAATCAGAAAAGACGACTTCCGAAACAAGATCGTAGGCTCTGAACTTTCTCGAAGTACTGCGTTTAATAAACGGTTGATTGGTGAGTTTACAAGCTTCGTTTGCAGAACTGCAGAACAAATCTTGAGGCCGCCGTCATTTACACCAGACGAAAATGTTTTATTTCTTCGACGTGCAATGAGGATTATTTTTACAACGTGGACATTCTCAAAAACGTTAACTGTTTAGGAAACATCAATATTGTGCCTACGCGCACTATGCCACTGGGGAAAAGATATTAGTTTTGTTGTTGGTTAGAAACACATGAAGTGTATATCTTTCTTATTTCATTTGTGGCTACAATAGTAAAGCACAATAATATCAATAACATAACAACAATTTCAATGTCACAATATAGGGTACAGAACATTTTTTTTAACCCTCGAAATGAGATATTGTAATTCTCATTGCGATCTATCGTAATAATGGAACACCCCATCCTTTATTCCAGGGCAATAGAAAAGCTTTAAAATTTGGAAACCAGAAGATAAACATTCACGAACATGGTAAAGAGTTTGAGCCTAAAGCGCATGCTCCTACCCCTGGCTCTGCAGATGTTTGTTTCATCACACAACAAAGTTTAGACCTTGTAATTGAACACTTGAAGGTGAGTCTGATTATATTCTGCTAGCTATTTGTTTATTCGAAAAAACAAACTGTACACACTGATTGAGGCTGAAATAAGTAAATGTAAATTTCACCTATAGAGTAAATATTATAAAAACATACCGATGTCTATGCATATTACCGATGTTTCATGCATATTTTAACTTACACGACACTTGAAGTAAAAAGTTCAGGAAGATAAATACATAAAATATTTAAGAGCTCTTAAACAAAGAAGGCCTTTTTAGAATAACTGAAATGATATTTTCATGAACGATTTAAATAAGGACGACTGAAAATATGAACAACAACAAATAAATCTGAAGAGAGCAGTCAATAAAAAGCGTCACTGACACGGATGAAGTCTGAATTAAAAATATTGTGGTTTCGATTGTCCTTTTCGATGCACCGTTATTAAGGTTGACACGACTGAAAGATATTGTAAACGAAGTGTTTTAAAGCAATAGACTTAAGACGGCTGCCAAAGCAAAGCACGAACTTGTCACCCTTCCGAAGCAAATGCAGTTCATGCTATAGCAGTGGCACCCATGTTCTAAATAGCCCCGAATCAAAACAAACTGTGAATAGATCTAGCAAAAAATACAGAGATAACATCATTGGCAAAGTCTGTCACGTCTTAAATGTAATTCGCCCCCTCAGAAATGTCTACTACATGTAGTTGAATAACAACCGGTGCACAAAGAACGCAGTATAAACAGTCAAAGTCCATATGTAATATTGATATTACAGGCGACAAACAGTTGAAAAGAGTCAAATAAATAATACCAATAATATCAAAGAATGTTCACAATTACCGAAAAGTTCATAGTAATTTATCTGATGTAAGAATAATGCTTATAAATCTTTCTACACTTATATTAGATGCCGCATTTCCGAGAAGATTCAATACATTTGTGTATATGAACAATGCAGAATAATTGTATCTTGGGCGAGACCAAAGTAAAGTTGTATACATAGTTTCACAACTGATTACTTCATTCTTTTTCCAGAGTTTCAATGTGGATATTGTAGAAGGACCTGTTGAACGGACGGGTTCCCAGGGACCAATAAAGTCTGTATACATTAGAGACCCGGACAACAACTTGATTGAACTGTCCAATTATTTGTAAACAATTCTAGGTACATCGAGAAAAATGCTACATTAGAATAAAACCACATGCAAAAATATGTATGTTAATTAAGTGTTATAATTGACCATAATATTCCATAATTCAACAAAGAATCATTATTGTCAGTTCACGATATGTAAATATGTAAAACAATGTATTAAATGATAAATAGAATTCAATCGTACTTTCGTAACTTGACGAACAAAGCCAATGGGATCAGTTATTGAAAACAAGTTGCTTTCTTTAAAAAAAACAATCGATACGTGAACCCTAGAAGCTAGCTGGTGACCAAAAATGTGTTGCTGAATTGATTTGAAATAATTGATTGAGAGTATAATAAGGTAATGATGATATTATAACCCTTTACTGGAAATATGTAATTGTGTGTAGATTCTTGCACAAGTCAATTAAAAGTACTTTTGGATTTAGTTGTAAATAGAAAAGTGTATACTACCATATGAATTTACCTTTTAAGGCTTGACTATTTTATTTATTACTTGGGAGTGTAGATAATTTTTTCAGGTTTAATATACAAAGTCCTAATCATATGTTTCTGCAAAACCGGATGTCTAAAGCAAATTGCACAGACCAATTGCTTATCTTTCATATCTTCATAATTTGTTTCCTGAATGCCTTAGTGATTCTTATACTCATTATGGAAGATGTCTGCAATCACGATAGAGGTGGTGTAGAGAAATTGAAAGTCCAATTTCCATGATGTGAAGTGTAACTCTGTGGCATGTAACTTATAAGAAGGTTTCGTTTTTTATTCTTGTGAGTTACACACCAGCTTCATTAGGACCTTTTATACACTGACCGTTATTATGGTCTCATAAATATTTTTAAGGATTTCCTTAAGTTACTTTAATCAATCCAAATTCAACAGGAAAACTAAGTTTTGAAGAATATCTTGTTTTCAGAAGTTTTATGAATACTTGAACATGCTCTCAATAGAACCAATTTATATAAAAAGATATGACGATATATATAGATATCCGGATTAAAATTTAATACGCCACACGCGGGTTTTGTCAATCCCCTTTTTTGAAAACAGATGTTACGTTTGCGTGATTCTTATCATGAGGTACTTTTCCTGTTTGTAACAATTGAAGTATGTATGTGCATGTGTAAATGTTTTCTTTTGGCACTATTCCAGTAATAATCTGGTTCTGTTGATTTTTTAGGATTTATATTTTTTATTGATTTAAATTTGCCTCCTCTGTTGATGTCTATGTTGTCCATTGTTGGATGTGTTGATGGACCTTTGTCAGAGATTATTGTATTAGTCTCAGATGTAAATGCTGATTCAAATTGTTCATTTAAGACATTTGCTTTTTCTAAGGGATCTGTATGGAGTAAACCTTTACTTCTAAGGTATGCAATACCAGTGTTTTAATCGTTTAAACTCTTTATGTATGAAACGAGTTTTTTAGTTTTTTTGTTAAATCTCTGATTTTTGAGTTCTTGTACTAGTATTTCAAATATCATGTTTTCAATATATTTCCAGTAGACATTTCGCATTTTTTTCTGTAATTGTGTTTTAATTCGTTTGAATTTTTTAAGGTGTTTACCATCATGTTTTTTTCTGTCTATATAATTTGTTTTTCTTGTATATTACTTTTTTTGAAGTTTGAATCTATCAATGGAAGGTGAGTTTTATTATCTAGTAGCTTGGTTGGTATATGCTTTTGGATTCTTTCTGTTGTTTTGTGTTCTGTCATATGTGTGTATGTTTCCTTCAAATTTTTTCCAATACTTTCAAAGTCTGCTTTCTTGTGATTGAATACTTTGTGTGGTGACTGTTTCGCTTTTGAAAGGGAAAGATATATTTCAATAAAAATTATATCATGTTCTCCAGTAGGTGGTCATGTTTCTATTCTGTTTACTAGAGATGGATTTGACATGCAGAGTAGATCAAGCGTGCGGTCATATCCTGTTGGTTTGTCTACTACCTGTGTGATATTTGTGATCTTGTTCTTTCTAAAATATAGTTGCAACAAGAATTTTTCGAAAGGTGTAATAAATAAGAAAATGTGTATGGTAAATTGTGTGGTAGTTTAGTAAACAGAATTGAGGAATCATAACTGTCAATTGCGATGCACAATCCTTCAAGGAACATATTTATTACCAATATTCATGTTGATTTCAAATAGTTTATGTGACATTTATAAAGCAAATGTTTTTAAATAGTTAACACTATTTCATCCATAGTGAACGAACATTTATTCAAAGTGTATAGGCCATACAAATCTCAATATTCATACTTCAGACAAAATGAATCCTTCAAAATAATAAATAGAAGAAAAAAAAAGCATTTTTTTTTAAATACAGATTAAAGGTCACTCGTCACAATCTTTAAACAAATGGTTAAACTTTTGAAAGATGTTCCAACATTTGTCTTTCTTTTGCAAACAATGATTCATTTTGCCTATTGTTCATTTAAAACTTTGAAAAATCTGATTGCATTTTCCGCTATCTTAAAATACAGGATCATATGAAAATGTACTACCTGGATTTAAATTGCAAAATCATGTTGTACTTTCGCCATGGTTTTGCACATTTCGAAATGTTTGACTAAATTACTTTAAATTAGTTGAACATGTAAAAGTTACATGTACTTAGCAATGTGAAAGTGCATTATAGAAAATTCAAGTCATTTTAATATCTTCATATGTTTTAGTTCTAGTTTGCTCATTGTTGAAGGCCGTACAGTGACCTGAAGATGCTAAGGTCGACAAGCTTCAGAGCAATTATTCCATTGTATATTGACGGTAAATTGTTGTTTTGAGAAAAGGTTTTTCATTGTATTCAAACATTTTCTTTTAAGGACATTAGTGCTATATGCCTTTTTTTGTAAAAAATATTTCCGTACTCCTAACAACAAAATTATTTTATTTATAGTTACCTGTGTACGTTATTTTATTTAACGCCATTTTGTCCCATGTTATAGTTATCTTTTTGACATTGTTTTACATAGTGTATTTATATTGTGTCATAGATCAAATTTATTCGTTCAGTGTATGTTTACTTGTTTTGTTAATATTTCTTTTTGATCGAGTTAAGTGTATTGTAGTACGGTTGAATCCGGATCGAGGTCGGGCTATTCCAGGTTATTAGGGTGTAAGGTCGGACCCGTATACTGTTTTTGTTTTTAGTCGTTGTAAGATGATGAGAGAATAAAGATGTGCAGTTTATATTAGTATTGACTTGTCCTTGTTAGTCCCCGTCCAAGGCAAGCTCATTTCATGGTGGAGGACTTCAAAGATGGATAGTAGAATTCTTTGATGAGCTGGTACGGTTGGGAACGATTTCAAGTCGGCAGATTGATGTGCATCACTGGGTGACGTTGGGATTTCTGGTGAAGGAGAAACACGTGGTCGTAAGAGGCAGGCATTTTTGTTGTTGAAAGTAAATTTTATTTCTGATGAGTCTCGTAGATTGTAATTCACATTTTAGATACTTGTTTGTCATGTTTGTTCCTTCAAGACTTTAGTTTTGTATGTGAGAATTTGTCTCGCTGCAATTATCTGATAGTAAATGGGCTGGTGTATTTTTCAGTGTATGTGAGAATTATCTTGCTACACGAACTCACAAATCGTATCACGGAATAAATATATACAGATTGTCTATTTGTAAATGAGTGGGTGCATCTTTCTTCAGGTATGTGAGAATAAACTCGCTACATGTACATGTAAATTCTTAAGTTTGGGTAGCATAAATTTGTAAAAATGAAAACAACACGTTATAAATTTAATGCGTCCGAAGCGCTTTTCTGGATTTACCTGCATCAGGAACGCCCAAAGCCGAGGATGTATAAATCCGAAAAAGTTGAAGAGCTATATAATCAAAAAGACCTAAATAAAGGCAACAGTAGTATACCGCTGTTCGAAATTCATAAATCGATTGAGAAAAAAACAAATCCGGGTTACAAACTAAAACTGAGGGAAACACATCAAATATAAGAGGAGAACTACGACACAACAGAAACACAACATTAAAATGTAACACACACAGAAACGAACTAATATAATAGTCAAATCCTTTTAAGGCCAACTTTGCCTGCGGGAGTTGAAACCTTAGTTTCTTTATAATTTCAAAACTTATACACGGGCAAATTTCGATAGGTTTGTTATTAATCATGTCAGTACCGAAGTACTGACTACTGAGCTGATGATACCCTCGGGGACTGATAGTCCACCAGCAGAGGTATCGACCCACTGCTGTAAGAAATGAAAACAACACGTTATGAAATTATTGCGTCCGAAGCGCTTTTCTGGATTAACCTTCATCAGCAACTTGTAAATGACTTCAAATCTAGTATCTGTAAACTTTTTCGACGACGAGTACGACAGAAAAATCGAATTTGCAATTAGACCAGTAACTTCACCTGACACCTTTACTGCCTTTACCAGTTTCTATATGACCTCTGTCTCAGTATTCTGACCATTCTAAAGAAACTGATTACCCTAGTTCATATTTATCAGACGAATTTTTGTCGCTCAATCAGCTACGTGAACCCGATATTACCTACTTGCTTACTCCTTTCCAAAAACCAGTTTTGCCTACTTACTCAGATATTGCTAAAAACGAACAAATGGAGAAATTGGCGAACTGTCGGAAATTTGGGGCTATCCTTATGAAAATGCGGCAATATTTCTATCGGAATTTGAGTCTTATGTAACCCTTCATAACATTTCACCATTGGACGATAATCGCAAAATTGCGGCATTACATTTGCATTTGACTGGACCGGCACTCACCTGGTTTAATGCGCTTTCGTCGGAATTCAAATCGTCATGGGACAGTATTGTACAGTTGTTCCAGACTAAATATGTTGACTTGGACTGGCAAAATCCTACTGTAATGCTAGACAGTGAATTTTTTGAAAACTTGTCTCTGTCGTCAGGCCAGTCAATTGACGATTTTTTACTGTCGGCTTGTTGAAAAAGCTAACATTTTGAAAAAAACTAGACCATAAAATTTTATTTAAATTTATAAAAGGGTTACCCGAACAATTAGCGTTCTGTTTAAGGGCAGGAAAACATAGGGACAGTCCGTCTGCATTAGCAGCCGCTAAAATGGGAGAAGCGTACGGATACAGGAAGGCGGAACTACAGGTTGCTGCGGCTAGTAAGCACCCAAAATCCAATGACAAATA